TCTGGATTATGCGGGTGCAACAGTCATGTGGATTCGCGGTGTTGAAGTCCCAGACATTGCGCTCCGGCACGATGCCGTATCGTCAAGACGCAGCAATTTGGTTGATACGTGGCGTTGAAATCCCGAGGACAATGTTTTGGCATGGTTTAGGATCTTCAAACGGCTGTCTTCCAACGAAGCAGTTCCCTCAATCGAAATGAACCGTTGTGGGGGTCCATGAAGAGGGAGCTTGGAGGGAGGCTTAATTCCAACATCGTTGATGACTCGTGGTTTTACACTGGTGCTCATCCTCCTCCTCCTCCTCTTCCTCCTCCTCCTCCTCCTCCTCCTCCTCCTCCTCCTCCTCCTCCTCCTCCCCCTCCTCGGGTCGCCTACGGCCCCAGGGGAAACCGTCCACCTGGTATACGCTGGTAATTTCGTCGATTAGCGCCGATGAGAGTCGATTAGCGTCTGGGAGTCGATGAGATAGCGTTGATTTAGCGTCGGTCAGCGTCGATTGGCGTCGATTTAGCGTCCAGTAGCGTCGATTCAGCGTCGATTGGCGTCGATTCGCACGAGCCAGCAAGATGGTATGGGAGGCCCCCATGAATTGCCACAGCGGAGGGCGAACAGCGTGTCCGTATCCGCGGCCTCGGGGGCCGGGCCCCTTGGGCCGCGACCCCGCGGATGTGGGGCGCTTTCTCGCGGATGCCCCGCGCGGAGCGTGTGCGAGCGACCGCGTATCCGCGGGGTCGCGCCTCGGAATCCAGTCCGCGGGGGCCTGGATTTGAGATGTTCCAACCTACCTTTAGCCTTGATCACCACGAAGAACTTCGAGCACCAATGAGCACCGAAACTCGTTGGTTTTCACGCGTCGGGCCCTGGGAGACACTCGTCCGACACTGTTTTGACACTCTTTCGACACTTTTCGGGGTGCTCGGAATTATTTCTGGGATGTGGTCCGTAAGTACGATGGGAGCAGCATAAGCCTGGATACGGATACGCTCGCCGCTCGTGAGTGGAACCCAGGGCTGAAGAATCTCACCATTTCGAGATTGGAACTTCTGCCCCAGTCAAGCAATGCTTGCTCTCGGGGGTTCTGTCTTGCGTTTCTGACGAATGTGGTTCGTCACATTGTCCGCCCGGGCCGGGTCGGCCAACTGGGAGCCGGCGGTAAACCGTCAACCAGGTTAACCGCCAGGACCCTCGTAGAGCTCTTCGCACGCGTGACGCTGCTTGGAACACAAAAAAGAAGATTTCTGCAGCATCAGCTTAAAAACTCGAACATACAGGTTTTTCGGCCCCGAGAAGTCGCCACCCTGCGGCGTGTTGTCGCCACGTGGACGGCGGCCGTTGCCGCCTCCTCCTCCTCCTCCTCTTCCTACTCCTCCTCTTCCTACTCCTCCTCCTCGTCCTCCTCCTTCTCCTCCTCCTTTTCCAGTGGCTCTCTCATTGCTCCTTCCAATCCATGATCGATAAGGGCTGTGGGAAAATAAGAATGTGAATGGAAAATAACAATGAATTAGAGGTAGCTCATCTTGCCCCACCACTCGCCGCCAGGGTCCTCTTCTGGGCGAGCCAAGGGCCAGGGACGCGTCAAGTGCAGGCCCTTAGGCCATGGGCACTTGCCATTCAGAATCTCAGACCTCTGTTGCTTAAAGATTTTATTGCAGTGCTCACCGATTTTTCGGGGAAGGCCCGAAGTGTAGGCCCCGCAACGCATACAAAACACTAAGGGTAAATTAGTCTCTACAATGCGACACACATGCAACTTGTGGGGGGAGAGACTTCTAACTCCACCACCTGCCTTAGGCTGGGGGTCAAAGCGGCACACGGGCTCTTGAGTTGCTGATTACTGAAAGTGCGAGCGCATTGGACGCACCTCCACGCCGAACCAGTCCAGAGCACTCGGTGAGGGCGACCGCTGGAGACAGCCTTCGGCCTCGGGACGGACGGATTGCGGGCTAAATCCCCGAAACGAGCTTTCGCTTTCGGGAGCTCTAAGATAATATTGGCCATACCTAAAGCTACTTCCTCCAAGCTTGCTAGACACACCTCGTACTTGTTAATGTCATTAATGACCCCTGGGTGATGACGTTTAGCTCCATCTTTAGCGAGCTCATCGGCTTTGTCATTGCCACGCTGGTGACGCAGGGCAACTCCCGTGAGCTCTCCTTTCGCATGGGCCTTGACTTTTTTCAGATTCCACTGGGGAACTGCTGAACGATCAAGGGCACGCCATACATCTGACAGCGGACTGGCACCTGAAATAGCCTTCAAGGATCACGATATCCTCCTAGCACAGCTTCGCAATCGATGTGAATCAAATACTCGGCCCCCTCGGGGTCGTCTTCCTGATCTGGCTCGAGGTGCGTGAGGCCAGACAGGAGCGCATAAACTTCTCCGAAAACTGAACTCTGGGGAAGGAAGCCAGGAACATTACCATAGATGCCTCTGATAAAACCTCCCTCCTCGTTAACAGATACAAGACCCATCCAGCTCTGGAAACAATATCATAAGTATCACCATAACAGGACCCATCGCTATATAGAAACTCGTTCTTGTTGAATCGGAACGATTCGACGGGCCCGTCAGGGCCCACGAAAAACATCTTTCCTTCCCAGGTCGGTTCGTGCAGGTCGTTCGGCACTGGAAGCCACAAAGAACTGAAAAACGGATCCTCTGGTCCTGCCTCCCTCCTTCTCCTCCTCCTCCCCTCTCCCCTTCCTCCCCCTCCTCCTCTCCCCCCTCCTCGCCCAGGGCTTCGCCCCCACGCGCCGGCTCGCCTCCGCCCGCTGTCGACCGCTGCCGCCCGTGGGGGTGCCCCGGGGCATGCGCCCGCCACTGCAGCGGAGGAGAAGGAGGAGGAGGAGGAGGAGGAGGAGGAGGAGGAGGAGGAGGAAGAAGAGGAGGAGGAGGGGGAGGGGGAGGAGGGGGAGGAGGAGGAGGAGGAGGAGGAGGAGGAGGAGGAGGAGGAGCAGGAGGGCGAGGAGGAGGAAGAGGAGGAGGGGGAGTAGAGGGGAGGAGGAGGAGGAGGAGGACGAGGAGGAGGAGGAGGGGGAGGAGGAGGAGGAGGAGGAGAAGGGGGAGGAGGAGAAGGGGGAGGAGGGGGGTGTCCTGAGGAGTCGCCGCGCTCCGGCTCGCTGCCGCCCGTGGCCGCCGATGGGGGGGTGTCTCCCGAGGAGTCGCGGGGCTCTGGCCCGCTGCCGGCAGCAGCCGCTCCCACCGCTGCACATCGGGTATAGCCAGGATCCGGACGCCCGAAATTCGGGTCGGGCGAAAGGGGGGGTTTGGGAAAGGGCGGGTTACGAAATCTGCTCCATGCAGCTGGTTTCGGCCCCACCGAGGGGCCCATTCCTCGATACATGGCCGCCTCCTGGCGCCGGGAGGCGCCGGGAAAATCAGCTACGTGAGCTGATTCTCAAACCCCCCCTTTGCTATCCCCCCCTTTCGCCCGGCCCGAGAAATGGGTACGGAAAGACTGGGTACAATGCCCGACAGCAGATCTTGTTCGTTTTAAACAGGATTCGCTGCCCACGCCGCCGCGGCCTGTGTCCATTCGAGACAGGAGGTCGCCCGCCCAACAGCGGCCGCTGTTAGTTTGGGACAACACTTGCTGTTGGGCACTGTGCCCATTCTTTCCTTACCCATTTCGGGCGTCCAAACAGGACCCCGGTTAAGGGGAGCCGGTTAGTGATTGGTCCCCGAAGCCCAGAATATGGGTTGGAATCACTAAACCAGATCAGCCGTAGCTGATGCTTCTCGGGTTACGGCAATTCCGATGAGTGGAATGGGACGGGGGGGGGCGCCCCCCGGTACACATCACTAAACCAGGTCCCACTAAACCCAGTTCTGCCAAAGCCCGAGCATAGTTTGCACCATGCGGGATCCCGCAAATGGGATGTGTGTGCTCCAGGGTGACTTCGATCGGTTCTTGCACCGAACCGCCCAAGACAGATGCCCCCCCGGCCGCAGGCAGCTCCCGATAGTTGCCGACAGGTGGGGCATGCGGGGGGCATTTGTTTGCGGCAGTTTGGTGCACCAGCGGATCGAACTCATGCTTTTGGTGGCTCCCGAACCGCATGGTTGCGCCACATAGATTTGCTTACACGATCTACCATACAGTTTGCACCCCACAGCTTGCACGTCCACAGTTCAATAACTGAATTATTGTTTGGGTCCACGCTGGCAAGCATTCTTCTCTTGGCGCGTAACGGCCGTTCCCCTCCGCCACCCCTCCTGGGCGACGGTAACGATCGTACTTAGGCGGGGGATTTTGAAACCCAGTGAGAAGGAGAAGACTTCCTCAGAAGGTTCGGTCGGAAGTCCTCCAGCCTTCTCAGAAGTTTTCTAAGCTTTCCCCGAAGACACAGAACACGTGCCACAAGGCGCGGGGGGTTCTGAGAGGTCACGCCGCCCTCTGAGAAGGCCCCTCGCCGTCACGCTTCCCCCCTCGCCCGCCGCCGACACATGCTGGTGCTCGCGCGCATGCTGTGGCGATCGCAGCGCACCCCCGCCCTGGTTTGCCCCACCCCGCCCGAGCATCACCGTTACCAGGGCCCCACTCCCCCCTTTGCCCAGGGTGGCGACCATTCCCGAGCATACGACGCAGAAAGCGGCTTTCCCACGTCGTGAAAAGCACAGGGCATGCTGGAAGGCTGTTGGTCGTTGACGGCCTCACTGGGCCCCAGGGCCGACATAAAGCGTCTCCCAGGGAAGAGGTCCAGACCCCCAGGGGTCCACGTTTCGAACAAACGCACAGCGTGGGGTCCGTGCTTCAGGCGTTGGCGAGAGTCTTGGGAGTGGCCTGCACGGAGGCTCCAGGACACGGAGGGAACTGCTCCCACGCGCATCCAACAGAGTCTGCTCAGAGTTGTTGCTCACCCTGATGGGTGTCGGAGCCTGGATAGCCGAATGTCAAAGGAGACATAGACGACTCCACCCCTCGGAGTATCGCCTGATCGTCATGTTGGCGTGCTGGAGACAGGCGTTGCTTCAAACAAGCATTTGGTCCGCTGCAGATGCCCATGGTCCCCCTTTCCGACCCCATCGCCGATCGTCAGGCTATGAGGAAAATAACAGGGCCTGCAATCGTTAACGGCGGGGCCATCTTGGAGCGTCGGAAGCCCGAAACCGTGAGAACGCGAAAAACATAGAAAATCACACGGACAAACAATGGTTGTTGGTTCGTTGGACCCTCTTTGGGGTTTTCTTGGAGCGCCCTTGGAACTTCTTTGGCCGGCCCTGGACAGAGCCCCCACCTTGACATGTCGATTAATGAATTGTCCGTTTTCGGTTCTCTAGAGGGCGCCGCGGCCGTCATTTTCCAGGCTTGCGCGCGCCAGGTTTGGGCCCGAGGTCGTTTTCACTAAACCACGTTTTGCTAAAGGGGTTACTGTCCATCCCCATTTTGAGGCCTCTTGGGCTGTCCTAGGGCTATCTTGGACGTCTTGGAGCGCTCTAGGGCCGTGTTTCCGATTCGTGGGCCCTCTCGGAGTTGCCTTGAGGTTCCTTGGGCCGCTCCGGGGGCGACCTTTAGGGCCTCGAACACCGCCCCTCAGAGTTCCGACATCCCTGAGCGGACCGTGCCGGGACCTTGCCGGGACCTTGCCGGGAGTCGGCCAGATTTAGAATGCACATTTATCATGTGAACCAGTTACCGGAGATCTTAGCATTCTTCTGGCCCGTTGGGCCTGCGAATTAAGACGCTTAAGGCTTAAGGTTTTCTGCCCATTGAGTTGGGTGTCCGTGGGCACCATGGACTGGGTTTGAACCTCTGGTTAGGAAGATATTTGCAAAGCAACTGCGTGCCAGTCTTGAGAGGGCGTCGGCCAGGGGCAAAAACCGTTCTTCGTTCTGTGATGCGCATCGGCAGATTGGAAGAGTGGGTCAGTAAGCAGGCACGATCAGCGGTCAGGGTCTACACCCAGTTTTCACGGATACAGGGCACGTCGGCAAGTTGAGAAGGGTCATTCGGTGCAATGGTTCTGCACATTTCTCCAGGGCCTGCCGTGGTCAGCGCCTCGCTTTGGCCGACTGTCCAGTTGGCAGTGGAAGAGCCTGGTGAGCGCATGTGAGGTACAATTTGCATCCTGTGATTCCAGGGGGGAGGGGGGAGGGCAGCTCTCGGACTGACGCTTGTTCCCAAGGATGTTTCCATTCTGGGGACAGGCGGTTCAGCAGTGTACCACATGTCGCAGTGGGTATATTTGGCGTACAGGCGTCAAAGTCTGGACCCACCACGCAATGCCGCCATTCCTGCTCGGAGTTCTCAGGAAGGCAACGGGTCGGTCAGGGTGCACACCGTCGTTGCCCAGGGGCAGAGGAGACCACGAACAGCCTTTTGGCCGCCCGAGGCTTCAGGGCTGTAAACAGGTCGCGCGTTCGATCGGTGGCCCGTGGCCCCTGTCGGCCCAGCTCAGAGTTGCGTCATCTCATCGCACTCCCCTCTAGCTGCCTTCTTTGAGGTCGTGAGCGGGTTGGTGGTGGGCTTCTCCACGGCAGGACTTGCCGCGGCCGCCGCATGACCTGGTCCTCCAGAGCTTGCTTCGGAATGATTGAAGGCACCCGCGACGAATCACCGCCGTCTCCTGCCCCTGTTGAAAGTCAGAGCAGCCGTGGTCAATAATCTATATACAGCATGTCCTTTGGGGGTCAGCTTAGCATTTCTTGGCGGCCTCCTGGGAACCTCTTGGGCCGTCGTGGCCGTTCTTGGGAACCTCCTGGGAACCTCGTGGCCGTCTTGGGACGTCGGTTCGACAATCGCTTCTATCTGCTTCTGAAGGGGCCGTCCTGAGGCTGTCTTGGATCTCCATTGGGGTCACCTTGGGCGCCTCCTGGGGCCTTCTTCGGCCATCTTGGTCCCCCTTGCGCTGTCTAGGGCCTCCTTGGGCCGACTGTCACCGCTGGATCGCGCGTCGCCCCTAAGTAGGCCGCGCGAAGCCGCCGTGGCTATGCGCAACACTCCGATGTGTGAAGTGTTCGGATCATTAGCTGGGCCAAGTGACAACAGGCTTGGGTTCTGGCGTTGCAAAGGATGCGTTGCGTCGCGCTGTCGTGTCCAAGGCTGTTGCGCGGAATCGTCGGGGCTATGCGCAGCATGTTGCTCAGGTCTGGGTTTGGGACCATGGGCTGCGGAAATGTGCGACATGTGCATTTTGTTGATTTAGTCATTTAGTCACTCGGGAGAGTTTGTCGATACCTCATATGCCAGCTCCACAGAGGCCGCGTGAAGCCACCAGGGCTAAACCGGGTGAAGCTGACGTGCTCAGGTTCGGGTTCAGTCGCATCTCAGAGTGGTGGCGGTAGCTCGTCTGGTCCCGAGTTTTCGGGCATTGCTGGCACTAATTACCACAGGTCTTGGTTCGAGGGAGGTCGCGCCGAACAGCAGGACGCACACTTTCTTCGAGAGCTCACTCGGTGCACACCGTGGCGGTGCTGGGGTAATGGCCACGGGAGCAGACGGCCGAACACCGGGGAAGAACTTCGAATGCCGCGCGCGTGTAGGGAAACGGCGCGTTGGGTAGCCGTTCGCGTCCTCCACGTGCGAGCTACAGTGGGCGGCTTGAATAAGGATCACGTCCTTTTCTACAGGGGCTCGGTCGTTCCCCAGGCTCGCGTGCGTTATGTATCGTTCCGCATGAGTTATGCATTGTTTATCGCTCCTTGTGCGTCACTCCTTGAAAAAAGGGGCTTCGTTCCTTGATATCGTTCCCTGGGTCAGGCCGATGACTGTATCGGCCGCAGGGGCCGCATTTCTGCATGGCTGTCCGCCCGCTGCCCCCATCCTGTTGCCCAGGCGTTGTTGTGTGCAGCTCCTCGGGCCCCAGGCTTCGTAAAGCCCGGCGGGAGGCGACGAAAGGGGCGGAGGTGGAGGGCTTCTCCGAAGGGCTTAGGCGACCCGGCCTCCTCCTCTCTCCTCTCTCCTCCTCTTCCTCCTCTTTCTCATCCTTGTCCTCCTCCTCCACCACCTTCTCCTCCTCCTCCTCCCCCTCCTCCTCCTACATTTCCTCCTCTCCTCTCTCCTCCTCTTCATCCTCCTCCTCCTCCACCACCACCTTCTCCTCCTCCCCCTCCCCCCCCCTCCTCCTCCTACTTCTCCTCGTGCTCGTCCACGGGTCGCCCCGGGGGAAAAACCGTGCAGGCGGAGGAGCCCCACGGGGGCTCCCTCCAGAGCCCCCTGCGGTCCTTGCGGAGGCGATCCTCTGCGGGGGGGCTGTCGAGGCGATGCCCATGAGGGGGGGCGGGGTGCCGTTTTTCATGCATGCTCCGCGTGCGGATCATGTATTAAAAGTGCAGGGTTTTCGTATTACAAACAAAGATGAGTTCATGCCTAAATTTATTCATAGATTAATCATGTATTTAAAATCCAATCTGTTTTTTTATTATAAAAAGCGATGTATTAAAAACTGCCCTGTAGGGTGCTGGAGGGCCCAGACATCCAGCGGCTCGGACAAAAATCGAGCCCTCGCCGAGCATGCGCTCCAGATCGTCGATGGGTTCTCAGCAGAAGGTGCTCGCCGATTTGATGTCTGTGCATGCAGCTTCTTCTCGCCGCGGGCAAGAGGATCTTTGGTTGGAGTCGGCGTGCCGCTATCAATCGGTCGTGTGTTCCCTCATCGGCTCCATCGATGGGTTCACCGCCGCCCTCGCGGTAGTTTGGAACTCGCTTATGCATGCCATCCATGGCAACGGGCCCGTTCATTTTTGCATCGCTTCTGGTGGCGACGTTCGGGATCTTCCAGATTGTCTTCAATGGCAAGATGTTGTTTCTCATGAGACTGGCCGGGCCCTCCTCAGTGGCCTGCGCCAGCTTTCTCGTGAGGAGGCCCGCAAGCTGCAACTCTGCAGGGTGACTGCCATGGACTCGGGCGCCTCCGCCGCACAGTCGAGCCCGTGCCTGCGCGTGGTGTGCCGGCCTCAGGGGTTGGTCTCGGCTGCCGCGCCTCCGCCTACGTCCGACGGCTTGGTTGCTGCTGTCCATGAGGTGTCGGCCCAGCTGCAGCAGCGCCCGCGTGGGATGATGGCATGGACGAGGCCTGGGATTTGATGTGCCCATTTCTGGAGGCGTGCGCCGAGCAGCAGCAGCGTGGGCCCAGCAGCACCACTGATGTCTTCGCCGCTGCTCTCCGCCGGAGGCGGCCGCCTGCTGGCCCGGTGCAGCGCCAGAGGCGGCCAATATCGTGAGGCGCCAGATTCGCGCGACGCTGAGGACGCCGTCATGTTCCGCTCTGGTGACCTACAGTTGGACAACGCGATGGATCTGGACGTCCCTACGGACGCTGACGTCGCCGAGGGCTTCGTCAACATGTTTCCGGACCATTTGGACATGGCACCGTCCGGCAGTACAGCCCTGAGCAAGACGCGCACGGATATCTTTTGTCTACTTGTTGGTGGCAGGACCCCTCACCGGCTCGCCCTTCCTCATTGGGTGGTCGACCTCATAGATGAGATTGTCAGCGACTCGCTTTTGATTTTGAGACTCCGGGGCCCCTTGGAGTTCAGTGACCAGGGCCTCGCCAAGATGGAGGCGGCCCAGACCGTCTGGCTACGCACCTGGATTTCTCCTCCGTCGGGGCTTCGTCCTGGCATTTCGGTTCTTCAACAAGTATTGTGTGGCACTGGGCAATCCTGCCACTTCGATTGATGCCGCCGCAGTGGTGGATCTGCACGGGCATGATACGTCTACGGGCACAGACCTTTTACAGTGCAGTGGTTGTGCTCGCTCTCGCGTACCTGCCGCACTGGCGGGCTGCTGCGGGCGATCGGGCTGCGCAGGCGACGCAGCTCCATATCCTTTCATAATACTGGATGGCGCCACTATATCTCCTCATGTGGCTGACCGCAAGGATGCCACTCGCGATTATGTTTCTTCGGCGCCATTGGCCCAGACCTTGTTTTGGGCCCGCAGTGGTGCCTGCTCGTCTGACTGTTCATGAATGGTTATCGCCAGGACGCTGTCGCGCCAGGCCAGGCTCCCTGGCTGGGCGGCGCACTCGCCAAGGCGATGAGGTCGAACAAAAATCGAGAGGCAGGTGTTGCTCGGTTTTCGGCCTCTCGGGGTGTCCTTGCCAGGCCTCGAGACCGTCAATAAAAACGACGCGGGATGAAAAACCGCGCCTGGGGAAGTGGTCGGGAGACCGGGGGCCCGCGCCTCGATGAAAGTCGAGATTCTGGATGTCTGGGGACGGGGGGGTCGTCCGTCAGGCGGGGCTGGGGGCAGGACGGTTCGTTCCGAGCGCCCCCGAGCGCTTGCCGAGCGTTCGAGCGGAACGCTTCATATGGAGCTGCCGCGGCGCCTGGCGCATTTTCCAGAACTGCCGGAACTCAGAAATTTCCCCCGGTGTATCCCATGGTCCGAGGTTGTCCCGTCCACGAGATGCGCGGCTGTGAGCCGCTCGGCGAATTGCAACAGTCGCTATGCCTCCTCGCCACTTCCTTCTCCTCCTCCCCCTCCTCTTCCTCCTCTTCTCAAGCCACCTGGGCCCATCTGAGCAGGCGTCTTTGCCTGACTTTGGGCGCCTTCGGGTCCCAGCGCTTAATGCGGGCCCACGCTATGGCCCTGGCGGCTTGAGGACGGTGTCTTCGTGACACATGAAAGGTAACTAGGAGGAGAAGATGGGCCTCGAATGCGTCATCAGGTGCGCCGAGAAGGCGGCCGAGTTTTCCGCGGAGGCCGACAACGCCGAGGATGCGATGCAGGCCGCGAAGCTGCCGCAGGCAGCGCACTCGGAGGCGCCTGTGGAGACGCCGCGGGGGGAGTACCACCAGGAGACAGTCAAGGTACGTCAGGAATGGGAGGGCGACCCCGATGACGAGAGCACGCTGGTGCAGGACAGCCTCCCAAGCGTTCCCTCCTCCCCCGTCCTCGAGATGACCTCCGGGAAGATGGATGGGGGCAGTTGTGGGGAAGCCAGGGTAGCACTGCCAGCAGAACACCGAGGAGATGCCGCAGGAAGAGCATCAGGGAAAGACCGCCGAGGTGGACATCGTGTCGCCTGGCGTCGAGATGTCCAGCCATTTTGCGAAGCCAGTGGCAATGTCGCAAGTTAAGAAAGTCGACGCGTCCTTCCACGAAGAGTCGGATTGCGAGAAGACGCGCGATAATATCGAGGACGCCGACGCCGTGTCCAACAAGAGCGAACCCGTGGCCGCCGCCGAGGCGGAGTCGCATGCCGCGAAGCGGGCAGACATCGCGAATTTCAAAACCATTCAGGAGTTGAATGCACATGTCGCGCCAATCCACAGGTGCAGTGAGGCGTGCTCTTCGCAATGCACCAGTTCGTGGTTCTGTGCTCGGCTGGCTCAGGCGGTGGGGGCCCGCCATTCCCCCTGCTACTGCGACTTCGGCATGCGCTCTCTCTACTTCTGACGGTGGGGGACCGTGACCCCGGTCGGCGTGCTCGGCTACGTGGGCTGAGCTGGTGGCCTGTCGATGCGGAGGCTCGTGCTCCTCCTGCGCGCAGGCCTCAGCGCAGATCCGCGCGTTGAGGAATTCAGCCCGCCAGGAAGGGGTCTGGCGCTCTTGCGGGCCCCCCTTCTGGGGCTAAATCGTTCCTCCGGCACAGGACTCCGCAGCGCGCTCATTTTCCGCAGTCTCGACGTTTAGTCCTATGGTCCTCTTTTTCCTCTTCCCCCTCTGTTTCCTTCTCCTCCTCCTTCCTCCCCTCCTCCTCCTCCTCCTCCTCCTCCTCCTTCTCCTCCTCCTCCTCCTGCTCCCATGCCTCCTCTCCTCCACCCGGTGGCTTCTTCTCTGCCCAAGCCACCTTGGGCCCTGGCTCGCCTCCCGGGTTTCCGGCCTTCGCCGCGCTGTTTCTAATGGGGTGGGGAATTTCGCCGCGCTGCCAGAATCATCCTGCGTGTTCCGCTATTCGCTCAGTGCCTAGTCGCAAACGTCCGAAACAATATGTCTGTTCCGACATAGCGGATCGTAAGTCCCGCGCGGCGGACCCAGCCGCTTGCGAGTAGGATTTCTTCAGAGAAGTGGAGCGCGCTGGTCTACAAACCGTTCTCCCATTCATGGCTCGGCCTTGGGACTGGCGAGTCCCGCGAGCGCTTTGCGCGCCACGCCGTCTGGCGCCCGCGGACACCGCGGGGCCCCCGGCCGCCCAGGAGTGCTGGTGGACTTTGGCTGCGAGGTCGGGGGCCTCATACCCAGGACGGCGGGCCCCCGCCTCCGCCGAATGACACAAATGGCATCCACATAAACCTGTGGAGCCCCGTGCGGATTTCCTGGGTTCGCGCAAGGCCCCTCCAGGCCGCGCCTCCGGCGCCGCCCCTGGCGCGTCCCGCGCTCCAGGGAGGGGGGTCCAGCGCAGATCCAAGGATTCCGCGCGGAGCGCCACGGGGGTGTATTTATACGACGTGCTTACCACTGTTTCCATCGTGCCCCCACTTGAACGAAGGATTGCAAAAAAAAACCGAAGGATTGCAAAAAACCCGAAGGTTTTTTTTTTCAATCCTTCGTTCAAGGGTTTTTTTGCAATCCTTCGGTTTTTTTGCAATCCTTCGGTCAATCCTTCCTTGCGCCTTTGGCGTGTTTGGGCCAACGCCTCCGTCGACCGGCGTCGGCGTAGCGTCGACCGGCGCTGGCCAGCGTCGATCCGCGTCGGTGGGCGTCGGGCCGCGTCGAGCCGCAGGGGCCGGCAAGTTGACGTGGGAGGGCCCCCCGCTGCTTTCCTGAGAGATCGGGCGCGGGGCCACGGCGCGCGGGCCAGAAGACCAGCAGAGGGGGGAAACAGAAAGGGCACCGCTGGCAATGCGCGTGCCGGAGAGCGCTCGTCGCCACGGTTGGGTTCTCCTCGACATGTGAGCGACGCGTAAAACATGAGCGCCTGCGTCGACACTCGCGCGCGAACTCCTGGCGAAAGGTCGCGCGTACGCGCCTCAGTTTCCAGTGTGGCGCGCCGCGCCAGCGGCCCGCGCAAGCCACCGCGTAAGGTCGTTACGTCATCTCTCGCAGGACCCGTTTTTCTATCGTCGTTCATGTGGTTCACGAGGCGCCCCGGGAAAGGTCGGGGGAGCAGCGGCATTGGTACCCGGCTGTCGTCCCCCAAGGACGTGTCCAGTCCGAGGCCCCTGCTCCTGGGGGGGGGCGAGTCGGCGACGCGGAAGGGTGCCCCTGGCCCTCGTTTCTTCGGGGGCTGTTTTTTTTCGGCGCTGGGCCCAGGGAGGGGGGCCCCAGTTTGCAGGCCGGTCGCGGGGGGGGGGGTCCGGAGGGGCTGATTTTAGGGGCGCGGCCCTGCCAACGCAGCGGAGTTCTGGGAACGTCTCTCGGTACCACCCAGAGTTGATTATCGAAGACGCCTACGGCGGATCACCGCCGCCCCCATGCCTTTTGGAACCGCCCATGTGGCCGAGCGTTGTGGCAAGAGCTCTGCCAAGCTATCAGACCATGTGTTCCCCCAGCCGTTGTGGAAATCCTCCGCGAAACACTTGGGGGAGGATGGCGGGGAAGATCAGGAGGAGGAGGAAGAGAAGGAGGAGGAGGAGGAAAAGGGGGCATCTTGGGAGTTTCTGGGAGGCACTCTTGGGGCCTGCTGGGAGTTTCCTGGGAGTCTCTTGGAGGCATCCTGGGGGCCTCTTTGGCGGTCTTAGGGCACTCCTGGCCCGTCTGACGCGGTAGGAGGCCTTCTTTGGGGCCCCTCTGGGCCGACTTGGGGTCCTTTTGGGGTGCTCCAGGGCCTTGTTGGAGACCATCTTGGGCGTCTTGGAGGCCTCTTGGGCCGTCTTGGGGGCCTCTTGGGCCGCTCTGGGGCCCTCGAGCCGTCGGAAGGCCGAAAAGAAGCACATGCCAACGCCATCCAACAACCTAAGGAAAGTCAATGATTTTGGCCTCCTCGGGCCTTCCTGGAGGCCCTCTAGGAGGCCTCTTGGGCCGTCTTGGAGATCTCTTTGGGGCCTCTTGGGCCGTCTTGGAGACCTCCTGGGGCCTCTCGGGCCGTCTTGGTGACCTCCTTGCCCGTCTGACGCCATCGGAGGCCGTCCTGGGCGCCTCTCTGGGCCGACTCTGAGACCCCATTGGGATGCTGCAGGGCCATCTTGGAGGCCATCTGGAGCGTCTTGGATGCATATGTGGGAGTCTTTGGTCAGGAGGGGAAAAACACAGACACAATTCATCGTCGATTCCCCAGAAGATATGGGAAAATATGGGAAGTGGGGGGGAAGACAAAAACCCAGAAAGTATGGGAAGATATGGGGAAACATGTTATTTGTGTGTATTTATTTGTGTGTCCTGGGGCCCCTTCATTTGGGCCCTCCTGGGGCTGTCTTTGGGGGCCTTGGGCCTCTCGGGCCACCTCGGAGGGCACTCGGGCGATCTCGGGGGCGGTTGGGCCGTCTCGGGCCGTCGGAAGGCCCAGAGAAGCAAATGTCAAACTCGTCCAACTAAACTCGGGTCTGGCAAAAAGGGGGGATTGGGAAGGGGGGGGTACGAAATTTGCTGCATGCAGCTGGTTTCGGCCTCACCGAGGGGCCCATTCCTCGCGCCAGGAGGCGCCGGGAAAATCAGCTACGTGAGCTGATTCTCAACCCCCCCCCTTTGCTATCCCCCCTTTTCGCCCGACCCGATAAACACAAACCAATGATTTGTGCCTCTTCGGACCCTCCTGGAGGACCTCTTGGAGGCCTCTTGGGATGTCTTGGAGGCCTCTTGGGGGCCTCTTGGCCCGTCTTGGAGGCTTCTTGGGCGGACTTGGAGGCATCTCGGACCCTGTTGGGCCGTCTTGGAGGCGGCCATCTTGGACCTTCTTGGTCGAACTAAGAGGCCATCCTGCTCTCTTGGAGGCCATCTGGAGCCGTCTTGGAGGTTTGTGTTCCGGACGTTGAGGTTGTTTGCGGTCCTTTCTGGGTGGCCAGCGCGCTGGCCCGAAGCCCCAGGGCAGTTTTTGTGGAAAAGAACCACAACCAAGCCCAGTGCATCATTCAGCACGCCAGGCACCTTTGCCGCAAGCCAACAGGGGGTGGCGGATCCCGGAGGACGGAAAGCGCGCGAAGCGTCGCGATCCGTTAGCCGGGGAAAATTACAAGTGAGGGGGTGGGGGGGTACAGTCGGCCCGGATTAGTAGGTCGACCCTGCCAAATCACGGGTGCCTTTGTGTCCTGAGTTTCGCGACGCACGCCTCCTGCATTCCTGTGGCAATGCGGCCCTCGGAAGGGTCTTATGTCCTCTCGCGTGGTCCTCTCCATTCAAGCCCGACTGTAGTCGGGAGAGATAACAAGTGGGGGTGTGGGGGGGTAGGCAGCCCCGGCCCCAGAGCTCATGGCCCCACGCACATCTTTTGCGTGGTCGCCTCTTTGGTCTCCACAGCGTCCGAAACAGCCCGGGAAGCCCCCAAGCCACGACGGCCCCAGAGGGCCCCCAAGACGACCCAAGTGAGCGTCAAGACGGCCAAAACTAGACGGCCCGAGAGAGACCCATTAGGGTCCCAACAGGTTCCCAAGAGGCCCCCAGGGGGCAGGAGGTCCCCATGGGGACCCAGGAAGGCCCCCAGATGGCCCCAAGACTGCCCAAGCCCGCCAAGACGGCCCAAGAGGGTCCCGGGACGGCCCAAAAGGGCCCCAAGAGGGGCCAACAGCGCCCCCAAAAGGACTCCCAGGAAGCACCGGGAATGCAATCTTTATACGGATGTTCGCAAGGCCAGAACTTCTTATGTCGTGCCGAAGCCTTACCACCAACAGGGGCTCCAAGACACTAAGCGAGCCGCCTCTCGCCCTCACATCATAGGCAAGCGCGCGTTCCGTCCCCATGCCAAGCAGGTAACGGAAAGAGCGAGGCACTGGTTTTCGAATGGCCTCCTTTTTCGAGGGTATTTTCGGCCCAAGATGGCCCAAGTCAGCCCCAGCGCCCAAGAGGCCCCCTATGACGGCCCAAGAGGCCCCCATAACGGCCCAAGAGGTTCTCGAGACGATCTCGGATACCTCCAAGAAGGGTCCCAAGACGGCCCAAGAGCGTTCACAGAGGGCCCAGCCTCAGGACGGCCGAAGAGGCTCTCAAGACGCTCCAAGAAGCCCCCAATCTCACCCGCAAGAGGCAATCACCGTGCCGTTCCCGAAGGAAAACGTCCTTTTTGACGAAGTTTGCTTCTTTGGGTTTGGCAGCGTCCACGACGACCGAAGCAGCCCCCAAGACCGCTTGAAGACGATCCACGACCCCAAGAGGGTCCTGGAGGGCCCCGAGAGGGCCCCAAGATGGCCCTAGCCCCCTAAGACTGTCCAAGAGGGCCCCAGGACGGGGCCCCCAAGACGACCCAAAAGAGCCCCCAAATGAACCCCAGGAAGGCCCGAAAACGCAATTCTCATCGATTTCCGCAAGGCTTTTTGTGCCACCGTGCCTGGGTTGGTGGGCATGAAGCCTATTGGATGTTCCCTGGGATCTCGTGAGGGGCCTCTCGGGGGCCTCTTGGCGACAGTTTGGTCGCCTCTCGGAGGCCGTTTTGGGGCCTCTCGGTGCCTCTTTTGGGCCACTTGGGGGGGCTCTTGGCGCCTCTGCTGAGCCTTTTGGGGCCTCCTGGGCGTCTTGGTGCCTCCTGGGGGCCTGCTCGGGCGGAAGGCTCGAGTTTGCGATTCGTGCTCCCTCTCTTGGGCTCCTTCTGGAGCCGTCTTGGGCCCTTCGTGGCTGTTTCGGGACCCTCTTGGAGGCCTCTGGGACCGTCTTGGGCCGGTCTTGGGGGCCTCTGGGGCCCTCTGGGAGCGTCGGGAAGCCGAAGAAACCTAAGGATCATCAATCATATTGGCCTCTTGGGGCCATCTTGGGAGGCCTCTTGGGCCGTCTGAGGGCCATCTTGAGCGTCTTGGAACGATCGTTCGGCGACCCGGGGCCCTCTTGGACCGTCCTGGGGGCCTCTGGGGGCCGTCTTGGCCCCTCTTGCGTCCCCCTTGTGGGCCCGAAGAGTTCATGCGGGTATCCGCGAGACGCCCCAGGAGGTTTGGGCCGAGGGGCTCCGAACCCCTTCAGAACTCCGCAGGTGAGACGACTGAGGCTCACAGGGGTAGTGTTAGGTCGGGCGTGTCCCTCAAGAGGAGGAACATTCAAACATAGACAACAAAACTACTCTGGGGACGATTCTTCTAGTATATCGGATCATTTTGTGAGCATCTGTTGGATTATCATTTTCGTTCACAATCCCCCTGTAGAGGGACAGGCCCGACCGGAGGAGGAGGAGGAGAAGGAGGAGGAGGAGGAGGAGGGGGAGGAGGAGGAGGGGGAGGAGGAGGAGGAGGAGGAGGAGGAGGAGGAGGAGGAGGAGAAGGAAGAGGATGAGGAGGAGGAGGAGGAGGCGGAGGAGGAGGAGGAGGAGGAGCAGGAGAAGGGGCAGGAGGAGGAAGAGGAGGAGAGGACCTGAGGACACGCCATGTCCGTGCCCAGGGGCACGGTGGCAGGTACGATGTGCGCCGGCTCTGCCAGGGCTGCGCGCACGTTCGGGCATCTCATATATATATATATATATATATGCATCATAGATCGTACTCCAGATTTCGTAATAAAGGGAGGGGGGTCTCATTTCGGGGGGGGTCTCTTCCAGGCCATCTTGGAGGGCCTGGGGGGGTCTGGGGACGATGTTTTGGAGGGTTCTCCCACTGGGGAGGTCTGAAATGGTTTGTCTTGGAGGGCCCAGACCCCCTCCCTTTTATTACGAAATCTGGAGTAAGCTCCGTGGCGGGCTTGGGGAAGCGATTTACTACGAGATGCTGTGCTTGGGTCGGACGTGCGTATCCGAGAGATGCACACGGTACAGTACCAGTAGATGTCCTCATGCGTCCCATTCCTGCCGCAGGGCAGCCTTCCGGCGAGCCAAGGGCGGGGGACTTGGACTCTTCCTCCCACTGCCCCTCTCTGCTTTCCCTCGCATGCCAGTCTGGATCCAGCAGGGTGTTTGAGCTGCGCGCTGGCCCGCCCAGCGGTCTCCGCTTACTCGTTGCTCCGGACAGCCTGGTCCTTGTTCCTCTCCCCCGCCCCTGGTCCATCCTGCGGTCGGAGCGGGAGTTGAGGGGGAGGCACTCCGGCATTGAGAGAGCTCCCACCCAGACAAGTCGACTGAGGAGGTCTGAACGGGTTCACTCGACACTGGCATTCGAGTGTACCAGTGCCGTGCCCAGTCGGTTTCGCTAATCGACTTGTGTTTTGCTGGGTACATTGATTTTTGTTTGTGTTTTGGACGTCGATCAGCTACCCCGCTTGGCTGAACTCGGAATGTGCTCTTGGAGTGGGGTCTTCTGGATCGTCTGGAGATCATTTTTGGCGTCTTGGAGCGCTCTTGGGCCGTCTTGAGTCGCTCTTTGGCATTCTGGGGGGCTTCTGAGGACGCTCTCGGGCCGACTTTGTGCTCTCTGGCCTCCCTGGAAAAGTCGCGCGACTATGCCCGAGTAGCGTCTGGTAGCGCCCAGGTGCACCAGAGCTCCCAGCGCCCTTAGATAATACGTCGAGTAATCAGCACACAGTTTAATTGGAACTGAGGGCTTTCCACTTAGGCACGGTTGTGGATTTAGGGTTTGGATTTGATCCGTATGGGCATACCTTGATAACGTTTTTTTTTATTGTTTTTTTTTTTCTCTCTCTCTCTCTCTATTTGTTTCTTTCTCTCTCTCTCTCTCTTTCTCTCTCCCTCTCCCTGTATAGAGATCTATATGTAGTGCTGAGAATTTCTTATTAAGCGTCGGGGGGGCGTCACCCCCACCAACAGCCCCACATCGAACCCCGTCGCGGGCAGCCACCGCGCGCCGAAGGCAGTCTGACCCCCGCCGCGGCGCGACGACGAGGCGAGGTTGACCCCCGTCGGTAAGAAACCCAGAGTATGGATCAATTGCGAAGGCCTTACGGCCCATGCCGCGGACCCTGGAGGCCTCGGCCCTCGACGGAAATGGGAGGGAGAGGGCGGGCCTAGAGGGTGGTATCCTGACCCGAAACACCCCCAGGACCCCCCTGGGACCACCCCCGGGGACCCCCGCTCCCCCCTCCGCGAGGAAGGGATCAAAAGGGAAGGGGCTTCCCTGTGACTCGATGGCGCCGTTGCTTGATTTTTCTGTGGATGGGCTGGTGTATTTTGCTTTGGCTGGCGCGCTTGAGGACGCGGGCCCAAGGAAAGGGGGGGCGTGCCGACGCACTCAGGGGAAGGAGGGCATTTGATGGTTGCGGCGACGCGACGGCGGCAGCGACGGCGATGGCGACGGAACAGCCTCTGTCACATGCCGACAGGATAATATCTTATGTATCTATATATGTAGTATGGATATCTATAGATGTGTTTGGATAGATTTCTTTGAGGGTGTGCCTGAGCAGCAACTTCGAAGGTGGGGTCGCGACACGCGGCCGCGGTGCACTCCCTGCACGAGGCGATATATGTTGTGACGCGAGGCGAGGCCCCATGCCTCGCCTTCTGGGGCCCGTGAGAGGAAACCGCATGAGCGACGCAAGAAAAACGGGGTCGTCTTCGCCGACACCGGCGCGCACGCTCCCCGCGTAAAGGTCGCGAGCGAGCGCCCTCGTGCCCAGCGTGACGCGCCGCGCGGGCGGCCCGCGCAGGCCGCCGCGCGGGGTCGCCACGCCGTCTCGCGCAAGACCCGTTTTTGATCGTCGCTGCTGCAGCCAAGACGCTGAAGTAGGGAACAGTTTTGATTCGGAAGGGGCTCGATGTTCCTTACGTCCTCTAGCCCTTCTCGTGCACCCAGGCTTTTTTGAAGCCGCAGAGGTGCTTCGTTCCTTCTTTAGCGTTCCTTGTCTCAGCAGCCCGACTGTGTGTCCCATCTTCTCCACCGCATCCCCGATCAAGTCAGAGTTGCAGGGGCAGCCCTTCCTCACTCAGCAGCCGCGCCTAGCTTCGTGGCGGGCTACGGGGTGCTGTCCGCTCCGTTCCTTGCTCACCGCTCGGCATCGCTCGGACGCGTGCACTCTTCCTGCGGCGAGGACCGTCGAGGAGCATCCTTGATCATCTGGCGAAGAGACCACGCACGGCTCCGAACAACAACGACACAGGGGATGGACGTCCGAGCGATGGCCAAGACCAGGAGAGGGCGGGGTATGCCGTGGAGGGCGGCGGGAGCGGGGCAGATCAAGCCGCTTGCCTCGCTGGAGCCAGCCTGCTCCTCTACCGCAGTCGCGTTGGAACCGTGATTCTGTGGGATAAACCAAATACACATACACACACATACGCACATGATGTGTTTGGTGTGTGTGTGTTTTGTGTGTGTGTGTGTGTGTGTTGTGTGTGTATTGTGTGTGTGTGTTTTTCCCCACGTGTGTGTGTGTGCGTGTGTGTGTGTGTTTTGTTGTGTGGTGTTTTTTTTGTTTTGTGTGTGTTGTTTTTTCCCGCGGAGGCAGATGTACAGACACCCATCGGTGGATTCCCAGAGCCCAAATCTACTTCGAGCGCCTTCCGACTTCAAGAATCGATGTGCCTTGGCTGCGTGTTGTTGCTCTCTGGGTGGGCCCGGACCCAATCTGCTCCATCCGCGTTCCTACTTCATGTGTCTACCTACTTCTTCCGACCGATGGGTACCTCTACTCTTGCCTCGTGTTCCCCTTGTTGGGCCTCCTGGGAGGCTCTCGATGCCACGGCTGGATTCGCCTTGACATCCTGGTCAGGACGAACCCCGGAGAGGGGTCTGGGAGTCTGGGAAGTAGCAGCGGTATCGTTACCTTCGGGTTTCCCCAGACTTTGGTTTCGATGGGCGCTCACAGGACACTCGTCGATCTTCAGTGCAAGAAGGGGGAGATCATCCCCAAGCTTGGCGTGCTAGGCCGGGCAGATGCGTTGACCCGGCCGGAGCAGACGTATCCACGACGCCTGCGGCGAATCGCCGCCTCCACATGCTTTTTGTTCATCGCCCATGTGGCCGAACGTTGTGGCCAGAGCTCTGCCAAGCTATCTGCCAGCCGTTGTGGAAACCATTCGGGGACCCCGCGGGGGAGAAAAATAAGAAGCGGACGAGAGATAGGACAAATTGAGGAGGAGGAGGACGAAGAGGAGGAGGAGGAGGAGGAGGAGAAGGGAGAGGAGGAGAAGGAGGAAGAGGCGGAGGAGGTTGAGGAGGATAATGAGGGAAAGGAGGAATACGTTTGGGGCCTCCTTTGAGTTTTTTGCGGGCCACTTGGAGTCCTCTTGGACGCCTCCTTGGACCTCTTGGAGGCCTCTTGGAGGCCTCTTGGACGCCTCCTTGGGCCTCTTGGGGGCGTTTGGGGGCTGGGGTCTCTTGGGCTGTTTTAGGGCGTATCTGGCCCGTCTGACGCGGAAGCTGTCTTGGATACCTCTCTGAACCTATTTGGTGCCCTCTTGAGGCGCTTCAGGGCCGTCTTTGAGGCCATCTTGGGCGGCTTGGAGGACTTTCGGGCCGTCTTGAGGCCCTGTTGGGGTAGTCTTGGAGGCTTCTTGGAGCGTCACGGGGTCATCTTGGAGGCCTTTAGGGCCATCTGTGGGCGATCTTGGGGCGACCTGGGGGGCCTCTTGGGCCGTTGTTGGCCGTCGGAAGGCGAACACGAAACAAAGGGCAACATCTTTCAACCAACTTAAGGGAAAGCGATGGTTTTTGTCCAACCCTCTGGGAGGACATCTTGAATGCCTCTCGGGTCGTCTTGAATGCCTCTCGGACCGTCTAGGAGGCCATTTGGAACGCATTGTGGGCCGTTTTGGAGGCCATCTTGAGCGTCTTGGAGGCCTTTTCGGGCCGTCTTGAGGATGCCCTGTTGGGGCCATGTTGGAGGCTTAGGGCGTCACGGGGTCATCGTGGGTGCCTCTGGCGCCATCTTGCGGTGCGATCTTGGTGGCCTTTTGGGCCGTCGGAGGGCCGAAAAGAAGCAAAGGGCGACATCCTTCAAAACACGTGAGTCGGGGGTGGACAGAACCCCCAACAGTGACACGTCGATTAGTGAATTGTCCGTTTTCGGTTCTCGAGAAGGCGCCGTGGCCGTTCTTTTCCAGGCTCGCGCCCGCCAGGTTTGGGCTTCAGGTCGTTTTCACTAAACCACGTTTTACTAAGGGGGGCCTGTCCATCCCCGATTGAGTGAACTCAATCAGTTTGACCTGTCCTTCGGGGTCTCCCCTTGGGACGCGTGCCTGGCAGGCACGGTGGCGGACGTCCACCCACATACGAAATGTGTGCAAGGTCTGTAGGGTTTCGTACGCGCACGCTCACATACGGACAGCCCTCCCAGCACCCATCCCTACCATCGTTCACATACGACGGTTGTGCTCTTCCGTTCCTCCTCCTCCTCGTCTTTTTTTTTGTTTGTTTTTTTTCTCTCTCTCTCTCTCTCTCGATGCCCGTTGGTTTCTTCTCTGTCTCTCTCTCTCTCTCTAGATTATCTTCCTCTCTCTCTCTCTTGTGCTCTCTCTATCTCTCTCTCGTTCCTCCTTAATTGAGTTTTGCATGTATGTCTCTCTTTCTCTATGGTTTGTGATATCTCTCTCTCTCTATCTGTGTACGTCCTTCTTGTTGTTTCACTTGTCGTTTTCTGTTCCCGTGTTTCACTTGACTGTGTGTCCGTGTTGTTTCTCTCTTTACATTCTCTTTTTCTCGCTTTTGTTATTTCTTATGGTGTTTGTCATGTTTTCTCTCTCTCTCTCTCTATATATATATGTATACATATATATATATGTATCCCAGGCACCCAACACAACCCTGGTGAAAACACAAGGTTTGCGATGCCAGGGATGCGGACACCTGGTGGTTTCATCGAAATCTTCCGGGTTCCGGGGATGAGAATTGAGGAATACATGTGTTTCCATTTGGACCTTTTGATGCTCCTGGCGTCTGGGTTTCAGCTTCTGCGGGCCAGAGCTCCTGAGAGGACTCCTCGCTGGAGGGAGGCAAATCTTAAACATCGCCAAACTAACACATGACAGCATATGTTTTCCTCAGTTCTCACCCAAGAATTCCCAAACATCCCCAACACAAGGTTTCTTCACCACTGCCATCGCAGACGTTGTGCTTTCACAGGGATTGTGTTGGGTGTCTGGGAGAGAGAGAGAGAGAGAGAGAGAGAAAGAGAGAGAGAGAGAGATAGGGAGAGAGAGAGGGCGAGAGAGGGAAAGAGAGAGCGAGAGAGACAGAGAGAGAGAGAGAGACAGAGAGAGGCAGATTCCAGATCCAGCTGACCACTCATATATTCCTAGTGTAGTGCAATTGCATACTACTTGGGGTGGAGCGGACCCCATATTCAGCTGATTCTCATTGAATTACTAATGGAATGCAATTCGGTTTCATTTGGAATTGGGCACATCCCAGATCCAGCTGAGTCGAATTGGAATTCCTATCGGAATATAGCTAGACTATAATTGGGATCGCAGGTCCCGTTGATTCCAAGTAGATTCTTATTGAAAGCTAATTCGAATTTCAATAGAATTGAGCAGATCGCAGACCCAGTTGGTTCCATTTACATTCCTCTTGGGGTCAAACTCGAATCTGATTTGGGTGGAGCGGATCCCAGATCCAGCTTATTTCCATTTGGTTCTGATTGAAAGCTAAAGTGGAATCTGATCATATTTGCGCAGATCCCTGATCCACCTGACCCCAAATAGATTTCTTCTGGAACCTGATCGGAATCGAATTTGAATGGGGCAGGTCCCATATCCATATGATTCCAATATGGTTTTCTTTTTAATTCGGATTCGAATCTAGTTGGAATTGGGCAAGTTCCAGGCCCAGCTAGTTCCAGTTATATTCCTTTTCGAATCCACCTGACGTGTAGCAGATCCCAGATCCAGCTGAGTCTAAGTTGATTCCTTTTTGAATTCAGTTCGAACTTAGTTGGAGTTGGGCAGATCCCGGATACAGCTGCGTCCAATTGGGGTTCCTCCTGAAATCGAATTTGAGTATACTTGGGATTGAGCAGGTCGCATATCCCAGCTGATTCCAACTAGATTCCTATCGACATCGAATTATAATCAAATTGGAATGTCGCAGCTCCCAGATCCAGCTGATTCCAATATGGTTCCTATTGGAATCGGATTAGCATCTAATTTCAATTGAGCAGCTCCCAGGTACAGCTGTTCCCAAATAGATTCCGATTGACAGCTAATTCGACTCTCATTGGAACTGAGCAGATCCCAGTGCCAGCTGATTATAAGCTGATGCCTATTGGAGTCGAATCTAAGTGGAATTGAGCAGATCCCAGGTCAAGCTGATTCCAGTTAGATTCCGATTGGGACTTCACTTACTTTCATTGGTGTGGAGCGCATCCCATATCCAGCACATTCCCAATTGATTATCATTGAAGCACAATTTGAATCTAACTAGCATTTCACAGACTCCAGGTCCAGCTGTCTCCAATTATATTTCAACCAGAGGAGAACTTGCGAATGAGAAAGATGGATGAACAGGCACGGATGAAACGAAGGTGGATGATCAGTAATAATACGAATACGGAGTTCAAACACCGATGCAACGGTATTGGGTGCAGAGGGTGCACGTATACATACATGTACACATATACATGTATATATATGTATACACGCATACACCGATGCATATACACATATCTACATACTATGTAAAATCGTGCTGCGTTTACTTCGGCTGATACATGTGTATATATACACATGTTTTTTTTATACGTTTCTCTTCTGGAGTGTAGGGCTCAGATGGGATTGTGTGTGGTCCCGTCGCCTGCTATCTGGTCGTTCCGCTCAAGGCATCATTATGTCTGAAGCCGGACGCACCCCTAGCCTCATGCTCAACAAACACATTTGAGGTTCTACATGCCAGCATGCATTTCTCGTTGGACTGCCATTCGTTTTTCAACGCTTCTCTGTGGACCTACAGCGTTGTATAAGGAGGCCAACAACACCACAGTGGGGTCCAGTGAGGTGCACATAGCTGCTAGAAAGTAACAGCTGTCCCGGTGTTTGTGTTCGGCCCGGTTCTGCGAGTTCGCTCCAACGTTTGTCCTGGCATGCCCACAGGGGTGCCTCTCGCCATGTTGTCGAATGGCAAGCTGTGGCAGTCCCATCATTGATCCCCAATGGATTGTTTGTATGAGCCTGGGCACGCACGCGCCACTTTGTGCATACACGAATGGCCTGCGGCCCGTCCCACCACCGTGCCGGGATCGCAGACTAGATGGTAGTTGGAGATCCTTAGGGCTCTCCCAGGGGGGGCAGTTTGGATTCTTTTTACGGGCTCGGGGGCAAACAGAGTGGCTAGGGGGTTCTTGGGCCGTCGTGGACGCCAGTAGTGGGGTCGAGAAAACGGCAATGTTCAGATCGTGGGGCATCCCTCGGCGTGCTGGGTTTCGCCAGAGGCTGCTTTAGCGTGTGGTTGTATTCCGTTGATTGCTGTCTTGATACGTGTCCTTGCTCCTCGCTTTCGTATCATGCGCCTTGACTCGAGAGTCGAGGCGATTGGAGGGTTGGCGCTGGGAGGTTGCGCGTCTGGGGATCCGTTGGGAACTCGAAGGTCGCATGGCACCGCGTCGGAGATGCTGGGACGTTTCGGGGTCGTTTGGAGTGCTTTGGGCAATCTTGGGCTGTATTGGCATGTCTTGTTGCCTTTAGGGTGCCATCTTGGGCTGCCTCGGCGCCGTCTAGGATCCCTCTCTGGCCGTCTCGGACTGCCCTGGGGCGGTTCTTGGGCGACTCTTGGAAGGTCTCGGGGCTGAGTTGGGCGGCTCCAGCCTGGTCAAGGGAGTCTCTTGTGGCCCTGTTGGGCCATCGTTGGCGGGTAAGCCCTCTTGGGCAGTCTTGGAGCTCTCTGCTGCCATCTTGGAACCACGTTGAAAACCACGAGGTCGCACGGGCGAAACG